AATATTGAGTTCTATTCTAGTAATTTTGCAAAATGGAAAGGGCATGAACTTTCCTGTTTGTTCCATAATAACTTTACAAATTTTTGCAAGTCACTAAATGCATCCGCGCTTCAGTTTTTATCTGTAAATCTAGAAAAATAATAGTAATCGCTTATTCAAGTACTCTTGATTGTGCAAACAGTTAAATGGCATGCTTGAACAGCTGAGCTAACAAGTTGGCCCTTTCAACCACCCAGAGGCACCTCAGAAGATAGCCCTGGTGATCTGCTTCCAAGGGTCACAGCTTTTATTCTATACACGTGGAGTTGCCTGAGTTGGAATCAACGTGAAGCCAACTAACAGCATGAACAGCAGCTATTTCAGAATCCATGTCAAGATTAGAGAGAAAGCATTTAGAAAGTGCCTACTTCATTGCTGGGTGCTCAGTTAGTATTAGCTCCTTGTCCCACCAGACCTTCCAGTTAGCTCTAAAACCTGGGAAGGTGGTAAAGGCATAACTCCAAGAGAATATTCGGATATTGCATAGTTTGGGAAGGGCAAATGATTCAAGTGTATATCGAAGTTGAGTAAATACAAGATTTATAGTTATGATTTCTGCAAGGATAACAAGAGGTCCTGACTAACAATTCTGGGAAGATTTTGTTTCTATTAGGTGTTGGCCGCTCTCAGGGCATATACTAAAGATGATATGGACACCCATTTCCAAGTCATGCAGACTTTACATGCCACATTTTATCTTGCAAATTAGGAAACTGATATCAGTGTGTCATCTATCCTATAGCCCCTACCCCATAACCAAAGACCCTTAAAAAAAGAGCTGAAACTGTGGCATGCCACTTTGAGGTGATTTTCAACCATTGATCTATATTTTCCCCTTTTTCATATTTTGTGTGGGCTTGTGTGTGTGTGTGCGTGTGTGTGTGTGTGTGTGTGTGTGTGTGTATGTTCATCACCCTATTGAAGAGATTGGCAAAACTTTTTGTGAAAAGCATTTAGTAAAAACTTTAGTGTTTTCAGGTCATTGTGGTTTCTATTAGTAATAGAATGCAGATGCCAGAAACAATACATAAAATAATTGAGAATAGATGTTGTCTTAGTTATCTAGTGCTTTCATCACAAAATAACAGAAACACCACTAGGGGATGGCTTTAAGAAACAGAAAATTACTTTTCACAGTTTAGGAAGCTAGACATCCAAAATCAAGGTTCCAGCTCTTTCTATTGCTTCTGGTGGAAAGCCCTTGTCTCCTTTCCATAACTGAGAACCTGATGTTCCTTGGAAGTCTCCGTGTCTTAGCAATGATCTTCCCTTGGTTCTAGAAGAGTCTGGGTCCCAAGGATGCTCTCTGCTCCCACTTCTTCTACTAAAGTCCCTCCACCTCCACTCAAAAGCATTTCACTCAAGATGCAACCTCATCCTGTAGATTATATCTTGCCTCATTAACATCACAACAGCCTCTTATCTTACCTCATTAACATCATAGAAGCTAGCATTTAAATGTATAAGATAATTACATGATATCACAAGATGGGGGATAATTACCTAATACAGAGTATCATAACTTAGCTAAATTGATGTATATTTTGTGGAGACACAGTTCAATCCATAATAACTGAGGTCGATGAAAGATTATGAGCATTAAAAATTTCATTTCAAATAATTTTAAGTGTTATGAAATATTCCTTTTGATTTTTCCTAACCATTTAAAAATGGAAACCTTCCAGCCCATAGGTCATATGAAACTGATAGTGGGGTAAGTTTGGCCTATAGGTCAGAGTTTGCCAACATTTGTCCTCTTGCTTTTTTGAATTTTCTTTTTTTAATCTTCTTACAACTTGTGCAAGTTGCCTCCTGGGTTGGATATGAAAACAAATACAATTCTACATTTAACTGTTGTATTTCTTTTCTATTTTTGCCATAACAAATTAACAAAACATAGCAACTTAAAAGAGCACAAATTTATTATTTCACAGTCTGTAGGTTAGAAGTCTAGATGTGTTCAACTGTGTCTTGAGTCTCAAAAATCAAAAATTAAGATGTTCGCTGTCAAGTCTCTCACCAGAAGCCTTTGGGGAAAATCCACTTCTAAGTTCATTCTTGCTGGTAGAGTCCAGTTCCCTATAAGCTACAGGACTGCGCTCCCTGTTTCAATGTTGGCTGTCAGGTGAGAGTCATGCGTGGCTTCTAATGGCCTCTCTCTATGGTTCTGGCATTTGGACTCCTGCATCTAAGAGCCCTCTGAGGATGTCAAGTCTTTTTCACATTTAAAGTTCCTTTAATTTTCCAGGAATCTTTTCTGGTACCTACTTTTTCTGATGTTTTCAAAGGGTCACGTGATTACTGTAGGTCTGCCTGGGTAATCCAGGACAATCTCTCTGTTTTAAAGTTAAGTAAGTAGTAATCTTACTTCCATTTTTAGAGTCCATTTACAGTAGTACCTAGATTGGTGTTTAATTGAGTAACTAAGAGACAAGAATCTTAGGGGACATCTCTGAAATTTAGAACACCAAATTATTACCTGAAATTCCAACACATATAGTGATAAATCATATAAGAATTATTCATAAGTGATTAAACAAATCTAAGGGTTTTGTTCTGTTAGATCATATTTTAGTGGATACATATATCCCATAAATTTATTTTCTATAGTAATGCAGGCTGTGCTTCTCATTATGTTTTCTAGCCACTTGGAAGTGAATCTGAGATGCACATGCTAAATTTCAATGACTAATTTTCTCCGAGGATAAAAGACATCCCCCCCCTCCCGCCCCCTCACAGTAATGGAACTTTTTATCATATATGACTCACCATTGCCTCTTACATTCGGAAGCAGTATTTCAGGGAAATTGCTGTGGGGAACAAGATGGGCATACTTTTCTGCCGTGATTTTTATATTTATAATCCAATTGCTAATTTTCAAGTCCAATCAGTTGCTGAATCACTGTTACTTTTTCTCAGCCACTTTGTCAAACTTGCCACCATTCTTGCTGCTTGGCATCCTTGATTTCCCAAGCATCTATTTGTTTCTTTTCACTTTTCACTCCCATGATACCCTGGTTTGGATCTTCATCGTCTTCTATTCTGTCAATACATTTGAGGTTGATCTGTTTTCTTCATTTTTCTCCCTTTCATCCAGACATGATATGATACAACTAAATTTTACAAAACTCACTGTAATTCCCTATTGACTGAAGAATGGCATTCTAACCCCTGAGCATGAAATTCAAACTTCCATTGAATGGCTCTATTCTTACCTTTCATCCTGATTCTCTGTATTCTTCATTATCCCTTTACCCCAGTCACATAAAAGCTAATTGCCAATCTCAGAACATGCCCCATAGAGTTGTTGGGATTGTAGTACTCACCTAATTAGCCTAACTAAAATTTTAAAAATAACTTTATTGTGAATTAAGTGGGGACTTACATTTTAGATAATCAAATTTCTAATTAACAAATTAAACTACAATGGAACCCCTGAATAGTTTACCCTACCTAACTCCTTTGATTTCTCTTCACCCTCTTGTGGATAACTATCTTCCCTTTCACCCAAGTTAATATTTATGAACTCTCTCCTATTGCTTCATCTTTCCTCCCTTGCCTTCCACCTCTTGATAACCTCTGAAGGCTATTTCAATTGGTATGGAAGTATTTGTCTTGTTTTTATTTTATTTTTTAATAACAATCGTTTCAAAAATATTTGTCTCTTTATGATCGACGAATTACATTCAGCATAATGTTCTCCACATTGACCCTTGCAGTGACATGCATCATGGTTTCATCGCTGTTCTTTAGAGATATATAATATTCCATTATGTGTCTCTATCATTCTTCCATGGATTGGCATGTAGGTAGTTTCCATCTTCTTGCTCTTGTGAACAGTGCTGCTATGAACAAGGGTGTGCATATGTATACTCATGTTATAGCTCTTGGTTGTATGAAATTTTTATTCCCAGATGTTTGAGGTAGTGCCATATCTTAGCCTGGCATTCTTAATTAGAAAACTATTTAGACTACTGAGTCATGTTTAATGTGGTTAATCATTATGATAAGCCTCGACATGGAGAAACAAAGGGTGTTCAAGTTTTAGAGAAGTAGACAAACCATTTATTAAGCAAATATACTCACTGTGAAAGCATATCTTCTAGGTTCCAGTGGGAAAAGATTGATTAAGTAGAGATCAGCTCTAGATGACCTTATAGCCTAGTAGGCATGAGAGAACAAGGACATCAATAACCCTAAAATATATCAGAAAATGATAGCGATCATAGGAGAGGTAGAGACAAGGAAGAGGGATATTTCAAGAGGTGAAAGGGACAATATTTCATGTAGCCTCTGTTGATAGAGCTTAAAAGATGGGTATGTTTATTAAAGGATCCTTCTTTCCTGCTTTCAATTGATTGCAAAATCTAGGCCCTTCTTTTATCTATATTGTAAATTTATTTACTTCTGTATATTACTTTCATCATTACTCTGAGTTTTGTCATCTCACTTTTAGAATATTATTGTATTCTAACTCAGTCTCTATCTTATACCAAACCTGATCCTGACCCCATTGTTATTCAAAGCCTTCAATGTTCTCTATTGTTTTCAGAGAGGAGTAATTTGCCTACCCATATGGTTGATAAGAGGCTGAGACTTAAGTCAGACTGCCTGAGTTAGGATCCTGGCTCTACTATTTTTTTACCAGCTATGTAATGGAAGGCAGTCATTTCATTACTTAAGTCTCAGTTACCTCATCTATAAAATGGGAATAATAATGTTTCACTGGAATATTATGTGAGTTAAAAAAATTAAGCATAAAGAACAAGTGTATAGTGCTTGGCACATAGTATGTATTCAACTGAGCATGGCCATTATTATTACCTTGAAATACTGCAGAGATTGAGAAAGATCTATTGTTCTTTATAAATAACTATTTGTTACTTGATCAGAGGTTTTTGAAAGTTAATTATCTATCTAAATAATTTAATTTCAATGTTCTCCCCTCTTCCCTTGAGTAGACAGCTAAAGATTGTAACTGGAGAATGGTTCTTTGAAGAAAAGGCAAAGCGTTTCAAACAAGTCAATGTTCTGGGCACCGATGTTGTCCGGCAGTCCATCCTAAGAAGAAGTCAAGGTAATTGAAGCAATTAGTTGGCTTCAGACACCGTCTTAATCTTCATTTTGGTGGACTAAACTACTTCTTAGGTTTTGTGACAAATAAACGCAGTTGAATTTCCTGAATCCCTGGGGTGATTTTAAGACTTGGTAGCATGGGAAGAGTCAAATCACTTTCCCACTAAATCTACATTTCACACAAGGAAAGAAGAAGTCAGTAGAAAAGAAAATTCACAGTGAATTTCCATATATTTGACATAGTGGGAAGTTAAAACTAGGCATTTATCTGTATTACAGGCAGTTCTTTTCCTGAATGCACTGCTAATATTTTACTAAGCATTTAAGAAAGTCACATAAAATAGATGAATGAAACTATGCACATCTCAAAAAAGCAATCTTTGATTTTGCAACAATATTTATCTCAAATTTCTTTTAAATTATAATTTTCTTAATATGTGCATTCTCACTGTGCGCACCGCCCCCACCCCCACCCCGCTACACACACACACACAGACCAGAGCAGCATTTGAAAATACGACATGCATTTCTGGTTCTCAGATTGACTGGGGGAGTATCAATTGCATTTAGTGGGGAGGAGACAGAGATGTGAAATCACCTACAATCCACAGAAAAATCATACTGAATGAAGAATTACTCTTGAACCTAATGAAAAGTCACAGTCCACCTTGACAATACGATACAGTGCATTCAAAATACAATTCAGTGAGATAACTATTGAGTCCCAGGGTATATGGCTTAGGTGTACAGAAATCAGGGCACCATTTATAGAACCCGATGCTAGAACTCTTTCTCCACGGATTTGGAGTTCTCATGGACCCAGATTCCAGTGCCCTGAACATTTCTGTATAGAAATGGCATATTTGTTCTTCCAGTGCAGTCATCCAAAGAAAGCTTGTTTCCACAAAGCTCCCGATCTTAGTCCTTCGTTAACTCTGGAACACTCAATAGTTTAGAAATAACTTCATGTCTAAGAAATATCAGGGGAGTATCATTGTAAAGCATTATATATTTGTGGGGGAGGCTGTGCTATTCTAGGAAAGTGAATGCAAGATAAAAATGTGCTCTCATTTTTGACCATTTTGTTTGTAAATTTGTTTTATGTTTGTTTTTAATGAGAAGCTGAAGAAATTCAGAGCCAAGAGCAAGTCCGTCAGGATGCAGAAAAGTCGGACACATCACCTTCTGTTGTGCATAAGGCAAGCCATGAAGCGCCCAGGAGAAAGGGGTAAGATCATCTTTCCAAGGGAACAGTGGTCTTTATTCCAGACATTTCTCCTGTGAAAGAAATACTACTCCATTGTTCAATTCTGGTGTCACTTCAGGGACTTAGAAGAGGTCGGGGTCTTGACCGAGGTACTTCTTCCGTATCCTCCTCCTCAGCAAATGCACTTTTAATTACTTTCAGTCTCAGATAAATGATGATTCCTTTTAACCTGAATATAGAAGAGTGTTCCTTTCATTTGACATCTGTACTGGCACTAAGTGGTTCCCATTATATCTAGGGAAAAGATTGCCTGTCAGAGCCAGTCTTGTGTCTAAAAAGTGGAATAATGCGTTTGTTGTAGAATGTCAATGTTCACCCTACCTCCAAACCTAGATTCAGATATATTAAATAACCAAATAAAAGATGTATTATTTGGGCTTAAATATTATATCCCCTGTTAAATTCAAGCTTCCTTAAGAGAAAAACCTCTGACAGCTCATTTTCAATGTACTATTATAATGGTTGTTGGATGATCTTCAGCAAAAATTTACTCACATGTGATTTTAATGGTATTGTTCTATAATTTATGCATTCTCCTGGGACATATTTCTTTGGAACTGGTACAAATATGGATCTCTTCCAGTTAGTTGGCCAAGTAGTTGTCTTCCATATTTTCTGGCATAGATGAGTGAGTGTTTCCAGTGCTACATCAGCCTGTTGCAACATTTCAGTTGGTATTCCATTAATTCCTGGAGCCTTGTTTTTGACCAGGCCTTCAGTGCAGCTTGGACTGTTTCCTTCAGTACTATGGGTTCTTCCCCAAATGCCCCCTCCTAAAATGGTTGGATGTTGATACATTCTTTTTGGTACAATGACTGTATTCTTTCTATCTTCTTTTGATGCTTCCTGCATTATTCCACACAATTTTCCAAGATTGCAACTCGAGGCTTAATTTTTTCTTGAGTTCTTTCTGTTCAAGACATGCTGAGTGTGTTCTTCCGTTTTGATTTTCTAACTCTAGGTCTTTGCACATTTTGTTATAATACTTGGCTTTGTTTTTCTAAAGCTGTCCTTTGAAATTTGCTGTTCAGCTCTTTGAACACATTTGCCTTTGTTACTCTATGGTCAAGAGCAAGTTTCAGTGTCTCTTCTGACATCCATTTTGATGTGTTCTCTCTTTCCTGTCTTTTTAATGACCCTCTCCTTTCTCCACATATGATGTTCTTGATGTCATCCCACTGCTCATCAAGTCTTTGGTCAGTATTGTTCAATATGTCAAATCTGTTCTTGAGATGTTCTGTAAATTCAGGAGAGATATCCTCATGATAGTATTTTGGATCTTGTGGACTAATTTTATTTCTCCTCAACTACAACCTGAACTTACATGGAGCAATTGATGGTCTATTCCAAAGTCATCACCTGGCCTAGTTTTAGCTTCTGATATTGAACTTCTTCATTGCTTCTTCCCACAAATGCAGTCAATTTGATTTTGTGTATTCCATCTAGAGAAGTCCTTGTGCATAGTCACTTTTGTGTTGCTGACAAAATGCATGAACTAGTTGTTGGTCTTTCGAAATTCCATCATGCTATCTCCAGCTTCATTTCTGTCACCAAGACCATGTTTTACAACTACTGTTCCTCCCTTTTTGATTCCAACGTTAACATTTCAATAACCAATAATTATCAATGCTTCTTGATTGCATATTTGATCAGTGCTAGTCTTAAGACATTGGTAGAATTTTTCAATTTCTGCATCACTAGCTTTAATGATTGGTGAATAAATTTTAATTAAAATTGTACTATTGGATTTCATTGTATGTGCATAGATATTTCCCCAGAACAGAACAGAACATAAATACCTTGAAATGTCCTTTTGGACAATGAATGCAATCCCATTCCTTTTAGTGTGTCATTCTCAGCATAGTAAACTATGTGATTTTCTGATTCAAATTCATCAATACCAATCCATTTCACCTCACTAATGCCTAGGATATTGATCTTTATTTGTTCCATTTCATTTTAAATTAATGACAATTTTCTTAGATTCATACTTTGTGCTTTCCAAGTTCCAATTTTTAATTGATGTTTGCAGCTGTTTCTTCTCATTTTGAAGTGTGCCCTATTAGCAAATGAAGGTCCTGAAAGTTTTTACTCCATTTATATAATTATGCTCTATTCTACTGTGAGAAGGCAGCTCTTCCTCATTCATATTTTGAGTGCTTTCAGACCAGAGGAGCTCATCTTATGTACTAACTCTGGCAATATTCTACTTTCATTAATTAGGTTTTCATTAACCAACAATGTTTCATTGCTAGTCATAGGGCTTTCAGTGGCTAATTCCTCCGAATAGGCCGTCTTCATAGTCTGCTCTTAGTCTGGAAGCTCTCCTGAAACCTGTTCACTTTGGGTGACCCTGCTGGTATTTGAATGGGACCCTGGTCATGTAGTGGTTACTGAGTTGGGCTGTGATCCACATGGCTAGCAATTCAAACCCACCAGCAGCTCCACGGAGGAAACACTGGGCTTTCTACTCCTATAAATAGTTATAGTCTCAGAAACCTACAGGGGGTTGCTATGAATCAGTGTTGACTTGATGGCAGTGAGAGAGCTGGTATTTGAAATACCAGCGACAAAGGCATCGTATTCAAAATTCACCGAACTCATTGCCATAAAGTCTATATTGACTCATATAAACCCTACAGGGCAGGATAGAAACGTTCCTGTGGGTTTTTGAGGCTATAAATTTTTATGGGAATAGACAGCCTCACCTTTCTTCCCCCAGAGTGACTGGTGGATTTGAACCCCTGACCTTGTGGTTAGCAACTCCGTGTATAGTCTAATGCATAGCATAAGTACACTGTTGAACATATCTAAAAATATACAAACAACAGAAGACAAGCTCTATGACTGGGATCTCCTATATTTAAACAGTTGTATACATCAAAAGACTTAACTGAAAGAGTAAAAAGCTGGGGGGAAATTAACAAGGACATATTGGATAAGAGACTAATCCTTAAAATTTATTGAAAATTTCCATGCCTCAAAAAACAAAAACCACAAACATTACAATTAAAAATATGACAGAGGACAGAAAAAGGCACTTCACCAAAGAAGACATTTAGGTGTCCAACAAAAACATGAAGAAACGTGTGTGATGGTTAGCCATTTAAGAGATGCAAATCAAAACTACAATGAAGCGTCATCTCACCCAATCACTAATAGAAAAGTTCAAATTAACAGAAAACAACAAATGATGGTGAGGGTATAGAGAGCCCGAAACCCTCAAACACTAATAATGGAACTGTAAAATGGTGGAATCAGTGTAGAAAACCATATGGAACTACCTTACAATTTTGGAAATAGAAATAAAGTATCCAGCAAATTTAGTACTTGCCGTATATCCTACAGAAGTAAGAGCCATGACAAGAACACACCCAAATTCTTTGCAGTGTTAATCACAATATCAAACAGATGAAAATAATGTAAGCTTCTGTGTTAGTCCGGGTTGACTAGAGAAACAGTTTCATAGAGACTCATATGTGTATAAGGAAGAGGTTGATATACAAGAGCAATTGAATATTGAAAATACATTCCAGCCCAGTCCAGATCAAGTCCATAAGCCTGGTATTAGCCCATATGTTCGATACTAATCTAGAAATTCCTCTTCAGACTCACAAAACACATGCAATGATGCTGAATGCAGGAATATCACTGGCCAGTGGATGGGAAGTCTTGTGGATCCAGTGGTGTTGTAAGCATTTCACTGCTGGCAGGGGTCTCCACATGACTTTTCTTTCTCAGGTCACTAGTGTAGTTCCATGTGTCTTGTCAGCTACAATGTCTTGCAGGGAATGAGCAGAGAGAGAGAGTGTGTGTCTCCCACCCCCAAGGAGGCATACCGGAGTTCCCAGAATCCTCAAGATAAGGTCATGCCCAGACAGAGACCTCATTGGCTATGACCTGATTGACAGGCTAGACTTCACCCCTTCACTCTTATTCCTCTCAAATTGACAAAGAATTATATAACTACCACAGTTTCCATCAATGGATGGATACATAATCTATGGCATTTACACACAATGAAATACTATGCAACACTAAAGAAGAATGATAGATTTATGAACTACTTCATAATATGGATGAACCTAGAAGTTATTATCCTAAGTGAAATTAGTTCATCACAAAAAACACATATGGTATGAAAGCACTATTGTAAAAAGTCAATAAAAGATTTTCATACTAAAAGAAACCTTCTTTGATGGCTACCAGGGGTGAATAGGGAAGAAAAGGTACATTCCTGACTAGAGGATTGGCAGGTATTAACTTCAGTGAAGGCAAAGGTAAATACAAAAAGAAAGATGTCAGCAAAAATGATGTATAAATGCCATGGAAAGCAGGGAAGGACACTGGGAGGGGTGTTTTTATTGTAAATATATCATGAATGTGGTTGCATGCTTCAGTGCAATGTAATTTTTTTTCTACCTAATCATCAAAAGGAAAGTAGATACAGGAGCACCAGCCCAGAATTCTATCACTTTAGACCTGCTGCTTATTTAAACTAACCACTTTACTTCATGCTGGGCTCTCTATGTCCATTAACAGTTACACTCTCAGAAACCCACCGAAGGTCACTATGAGCCAGCATTGCCTGGATGGCAGTGACTTTGTTATTTCCCTTCGGAGTGGGTTGTATAGTGTTTTGTTTCAAAGTTTAAAATACTGGGAGATGGCTGGTGGGAGGGGGGATAACTATAGCTGTTTCAGCCATCAGGAAAACTTCCTCCTCTTCGAAGTCATAAGTTAGTGTGTGCATTGTCAAAACCAGTCTAGGAAATCCCCCAAGAGTTGACAGCAGAACTACCATAAAGCCAAAAGAAGAAGACAAGAAGACCCTCACCGTCATCAAATCTATTCCAACTCATAGCAACCCTATATAGGGGCTCCATGGCTGAAAATCTTTAGGTAACAGATAGCCTCATTTTCCTCCCAAGAAGTACCCAAAGGGTTTAAACTGCAGACCTTGAGGTTAGTAGTCAACTACTTAATTGCTAGCGCCACCAAGGTGCTTTTAGAACTAATGTACAACCCAGCAATTTTATTTTTACTCACTTATTCAAAAGACCCAAGAGCAGCAAAACAGTTAACACACATACCAAAGTTCATTGCAGCACTCTTTACAGTAGCCCAAAGGTGGAAACTATCAAAATGTCCATCACTGATAAATGGATGTCAAGTGTGGTATAGACGCACAATGGAATCCAGCTGAGTCATAAAGAGGAATGGCTTCCTATGGTGTGCTACAATTCAGATGAACCTTGAGAGTAGCCTGCTGAGTGAAACCAAAACTGAACCCGAAACCACTGTCATGGAGTTGGCCCCAGCTTTTAAAGATCCTACATAGGATTGGTAAGGCTATCAATCTTTACAGGAGCAGACAACCTCATTCTCCCCCTCATGGTGGGTTTGAACAACCAATGATGTGGTTAGTAGCCCAACATCAAACCTACAGCAAAAAGGACAAATACTGTCTGATATCCTTTAGATGAGATAAGCAGTTATGTAGAAAGTACAAAGCATTCATGGTTTCCAGGAATTGGAAGAAGGAGGAAAAGTGGGGGGTTTTGTTTAGAGTGCATTGAAAGTGTGTTAATGGTAGTAGAATCATTTGGGAAAAGATACTGAGAATGGTTGCAAAACTTGAAGAATGTAATCAATGTTACTGACATGTACATGTAGAAATTCATGAAAGATTGTATTTTTCTTTATGTATATTGCTATAATTTTTAAAAGGGCAGAGGTTCTGCTCTTGAGGAGCCCCAGTTTAATACCTTACTTACTACCTCAGTGTGTCCCAGAGGTGCTTTTTGAAGGATCATTTCAGATCCCTGTTCTCAGTTCCTACCAAAACAGGTTCTAGTCAAGCAATGCTTCTTCCTTTTCAGGTGACAGTGGTGAGTTGCCAAAACAGGTGGTCTCTCTTTCACAGGGACAGAGAGTTAGCTTACCAGCAAGTGGCACAACCTTGGGAGAACACCATCACCATCTTCGCTCTCCTGACAGGATATAGGGGAACTCTCCTGAACCTCCCAATTCAAAGCCAGTTTATTGAAGAATCATTTATGTTGAACGTACTAGAAAAGGCACACTTGAAATGAGTTTTCAGTGGTGTGTCTCTTATACTACTTTTAATTGAATTTCAGATTTCTTCTCAGCAAGTTCAGATCAGCAACCAAAGGAGAAATTGTGACTACAAAATCTGAAAGTGGGCGGAGCTACAGCTTGGACTTAGAGAGCCAAAGTGTCCAAAGTTTAAAGTCAAGTGCCAATTCAGACAGGTAAGAGGGATGCACATTGAGCCGTGGTAGAGCTTGAGGGTAAGGCTGTTATATTTCCACCTAAACCAAAGTGCCTACAATCATTACCACTCGGAGAACTCCAAACATACAATGTTAAAAGCCAGGAAGAGATAGTTTAGTTGCAATGAATAGCACTCACCCTCTTTCTGGAACTACAGTTGTTGGAATCTTCTGTCAACACCAAGGACCAGACATACTGATGCTGCTTTGCAGAATTTCAATTCAGATAAAAATGTACAAGGAAAGCGTTTTCCCCATTGGCTTATTAACCTTTTTCTGTTTAAGCCTCTGAAATAGAATTTCCCAAGTGTCACAGACATTCCTTGCAGCTTTAAACAATTTATCTATATATGAATTGCCTCAGAGCAAGTTTCCATAAATTCCACTTCATCCAACTCCTGATGGTGTGTCAAGCGAGTCTCTCTTTTTTTGCATAGAGAAATCAATGTTTGCAAGCAAATAGAGTTCGAAAGCAAAGCAAAGAGTATAGGCCTGTAATATCTCACTTGATTTTTCTGTAGCCTGGTGGGGCATCAAGCCATAAGAGGGG